GTCTTGTTTTAAGTCAAAATATCTCAACCTATTGGCAAACTTTTTTTTTTCTTGACAGGTCAATATGACTCAAATTAAGATCAAATATTATTTTTTGGCAATCTTTACGTATCAGGATGGGTTAAAATCAAGTTGTTGTTTTTTTCCATCTGAGTCAATGGATCAACATCGTTCACATTATCACCATCACCCCCCGTTTAGCATTACCTGGTAGTGGCTGCATGAATACATAACAAAAGGTGGCCTGATGGCTTGCAAATTACTCCAGCACGGTAAAAGTGAGTTGTTTGAAAATGCAAACATGAGAGTATATATACTTGGAAATGTTCTTTCTATTCTTCTATTTCCACCAACAAGGTCACTTCGTTCCCCTCAAACCAACAGGAAACACTTTCTCTGATCAGGAAGGAGGCCTTTTTAGGGTTTTGGCTGCAGTTGCCCAAATAGCAAGAGAAGATTTGGAATAAGCAGAAACTGACAAATAATACAACGAGAGCAAAAAGTTTTACAARAATCATAAAAATGATTCAAATTAAGATGATTGCATTAAGTTGATAACATTTTTTTCTCATCCTAAACTACTGTATGAGAAGATTTACATAAATTATTACTTTATTTACTGTAAAAGGTCATTAAAAAGTGTTAAGGAAAACCTAATGACTTCTAATAAAGCACTCACTTCCTGCTTTCCCCACTCCCTTCCTCCTCCTAGTGTAAGGAGGTGGAGTCTTCCTCAGAAAGAGGAGGAAAAAGGAGGAGACGCCTGCAGTCCAAGGAGCTCAGAGGAGCTTCAGGTCCTCATTTGACTGGAGACGCTCTCTCAGCACCAACACAACACGCTGCCCGGCTCAGGGTTCTGCTCTGCTTCCTGCTGCTCACTGTTCGTTTGGAGACAGCTTTACACTTTTTCATTTACTTTGTAAGTAAACTTATTTATCTACAGCTCTGCTGGAGCTGATCATAAAACATGCAGTGTTAATATGGGGCTGTTTACTTAAACAGAAAGGAGATCCTGTTTTGATAATCAACAGTTTTCACACTTTAAATTAAATTAGAGGACTTTTTGTTTCTGTATGTTAAAGATTCTGTAACTGACGTTACATTTTTTGTTTTTCATCTGTGTGAAATGTTGAATCTAAAAATAGTCTTGATTGTAACATTTGGCAGCTTTGCCTCAGGTCTATTTTCACTCAGCTGTAGCGGTGAGGGTCTTTCAAAGCTGACAGACTGAATGTACTCAGAAGAACTTTGATGTTGACGTCTCATTTTAGGCAGAAGGAGAAATATTTCAGCGTTGTCACGCCGGAGCTGCCTGGGTTTATCAGAGATATATTTCATTTATTTTCTTCTTAGGAAGAGAGAAAGAGATGAAATATTTTGTCAGCTTAGAGAAACTCACTTTTTCATTAACACTGTTTTCAGCTCTGCTCTGTGGTGAGGTAATTAACATCCATGAGGTGTTAATTGGAGGAGAATCAGTCCTAAATAACTGTCATCTAAAGCTGGAGGCAGCTCCACAGTGACCACTCTCCCTTTTTGTGTGCGAATGTGTGTGTGAATGTGTGTGTGACTCAGGACAGTAGTATTTGCATTCACGCCTGCGTGCCTCTGGAATCTTTATCACCACGATGAAAGAAAATCATTTATTCTTCATTTCTTCTGTTTTATTTTTGACTTGTTTGCCTTCAGGCTCTGTTGTAGCATAAAGCCATGAGCGTCGATGCATGTGACTGCTCAGGTGCTGTGCAGCTTCTAAATACAGTTGTGTATGTGTGTGTGTGTGTGTGTGTATGTGTGTGCATGTGTGTGCTTGTTCTTTTTGTCCCCAGGTATGTGAGGGCTTGTGTGAGGGGGCTGTTTCAGTTATTTTACCAGATTAGCTCCAGCTGAGTGAGACGAAAGCAGTCGCCTCCAGCCACTGATCCCCCACACAGAAAGAACACACACTCATCTGTTCTCACATCAGTTCGGTGAGAATACCGTTCATACAGTCAGCAGATATTTTATGCTGGATGAGAATAAAATGTAATTAATTGAATTAATTCTAAGAAGATCAGCTGGAACAAAATGCACGTAGTCACTTTGACAATAAAAAATTCCTCAATATGATTCCTTAACTTGGCTTGTTGGAAAAAATCCAAGCTCGTTTTACCCATAAAACTCTGTTTTGCTGCTTTGATCCTGAATGCAGCTCAAACATCAACCCACTGGTGGCACTAAAGCACTCAAAGCATTGATACAAATTAGGGCAGGAATTTGTTCACATGAAATATATCACAATACAGAGATCACAAAATAATAATCACGATAAACTGTGATAATATAAGTCAGGCGATATATTGCACACCAGGCATTACATGAATAAAATCTGATTAATTCAGTTTATTTTTATGCAGTCAGAACACTGAAAAACACTAGCTGTGTTTCCATTGCAAATGTGCGCAAAACTTTGTTGATATTCTGTTAATGTCGAAAAACA